GGGTCTTGTAAATATTAACGGGTTCGAGTTCGAGTTTGCTTCAAACCCGACCCGACCCGACCCTTACGGAGCACTAACTATATATTAGTTATAGATAACTATGGGTTGCTTATATAATTATTAAAATAAATTTGTAATTTAAGCTTCCTTATGATACTTTTATGACATATTATATTAAATTTGATTAACATAAATAGTTATTTTTATAAAATTTAATTAGTATTCATTTTTCTTTTTTTGTATTATATTTATTATAATATTTATTGCATATATAGCAAAAAAATTTTTTTTAATTTTAATATTGAATATTTTTTATTAATACATTTTTAATTTTTGAATCTTTTTTATTTCTAAGGTAAATAAAAGAATATAAATAAGTGGTTTTTTAAAATTATATTTTTATTTTTTCACAGATATTTAAAAATTATTCTGTTATTTGAGAATAATAAAATAGGCCTTTAGCTACTAAGTAAAATTATTTAATAAATAACAAAATAATAATTTATTAAATTTTATTAATCTTGAATAAATATTCATTAAGCTAACAATTTTTTATTATAAATATACTTATTAATTTTTTTATTTTATTTATATATTTTTTAAGGTAAATCCAGATACTTTGGTCAAATAAAGCAGGCTTTTCAAGTTAAATTAATCTTATTCAGTAGTATCAAAATGATTATTTATACACTAAACTTTTCATAAATAGCTAACGCTAATTCATTTTTTATATTTATTTTACTTTTTTTTTTTAATTTTTACATCTATAATAAAATTTTTTGCTTTGAAAATATAATAATTATTTAACTGCTAATACATGCTAAAAATTTCATAAATTTAAGATGTAATAAAAAATTTATAAATATTATAATTTTTGGTTTTAAAAAAAAAAAAAAAAAAAACTTAAAATTCATAACTTTACTTTTAATTTATAATCAATATTTTAATCAACTCTAATTAAATTCTAATTTAATAATATTATTTTATATTTTGAAATGTAATTTATAAATAAAAGTTCTTTTAAAAGCATTCCATTATGCAGTCAACAAATTAAATAAAAAAAAATCACAAATAATTCATTGCAAGGTCATTTATCGAAACTAAGCATGTGATGTTGTCATACTAAATAAATAAATATATTATATATTTTTTTTTCTCATTAAAGAAAATTTCTTCAAGTTTGTATTATTGGTCCGTTTTGTATTTAAATAAATATATTTGCCGGATGAACTAAACCAATGATATTCATTTTTTTCCGTCGCTGAAAATTCAAGAACTACGACGTCTACGTTGCAAATGCTTTTTCTTTATTCGAAAAATAACAAATATCTTTTACGTGCTCAAATGAAATAATAATACTCCGCAGTTTAATCAAATATATACAGATCAACAAATTGTCTTCGCCACAAACTTCTAAACAAAGTTAACCGATGATATTTTTACAAATGCTTTCAATTTAAAACAATTGCGCGGTTGAATTCTTCATCCGGCATAGTATGACCTGAAATCATTATGACATGAGAAAAAAAATAAATAAAAAAAAAAAAAGAACGAAAAACATAAATGCAAATTCGGGGAAAAACTCCGGAGTAACACAAATTAAATGCAACTAAACGCCAAATAATTCCGGACCCCGAATTAAATATATAATAAGTTTTTCTTATCCCTAAATTCTTTAAATCTTTCAAACCGATAATAATTTGAATTTGAAAAAAATAATTTCTAAGGCCAATAATTTGAAGGTTCACAAAAAAAAAAAATTCCTGTTCAACGAAATTTTGATACATATTCGAAATAAATGTGAACAGGAATTCAGGAATTCGTTTATATAATATATATACTTATTTTTCAAAAATTCCACTTTTACTATGATTTACTATGATTTTGAAATAATTTTTTATGAAAAGTCTTATTTAATTTTGAATAATTGAAATTAGTTCTTGGACAAGAGCTTAATTAGATCATGGAAGTTTTGATTGATTTAAAAAAAAACAGTTTTATTATCTTTTAAAACAGTATTAAAAAGCTTCATTTCAATGAAATGAAGCTAAAGTGGGTATGTATAATCTCTCCTATTACACACATATCAAAAAATGCAGCAATTTGCGTTAGCTCTGGTTCTATTATACAGCATTCACTAATGTACCAACATCAATTCCGATTCAGTTTCGATTCAGGATTGGATTCTTCGAATAGATTCAATGAAACAGGCGATTGTTCATAAATAAGTCAAATTCCTTGCAAATGTAATTAATATTTAATATTTTGATAATCCGTATTCAAATAATTCACGTTATACGTCTGTACAATTTATGATCCCTGAAAAGTTAAGGTCCAAATGATTAACATCATCATTTCTCAATAAGATGGCATCTCAACATTTGCGACAAGTGGCGATTAGGTTATCTAATCGTGTATTAAGAAGTTATAATAAAATTTGTACGTAACACGAAAACATATGGTTGTAATCACTCATCTCGTTCATTTAACAATTATATTATATTTCTGTATTTATGGAACGAACTTATTGCCAGGAAGCTCACATCACTATTCTTCTTCCGATTATCAATAGCTGGAATCCGGGTCTCTCATTAAAAGAAAAGCATCTGAATATACATCAATTTATTATAGTATAGATTTCTTTATTAAAATTCACTATAAAATAAATCCCTTAGAAAAAATTAAGCGATAATCATTTGAGATTATATACTGAAGAATTTAGTTTTGTTTATTTAGTTAGAGATGAATATAAACATAATATTTATGGATTCTATTTATTGATGAAGTGTGTCTAAGATCTAACCTTAATGATATGTTATATAAATAATTTAAATTCTCATGAATTTAATGTTTTTTAAGTCTATTTATTGAAACTAACTAAATTATTTTTTCTTTTTTTTATACATTATATATCTAAATAAATCCAAGATTTATCCTGTTTTTTTACTCCATTCTCAAACTTATTCAAAAGGAGCCTCGATCAAGCATAAATGTATCAAGATATATATATTGAAGATTGAAATTTGTACACGAAATGTAAAGTATGTAAAGGTCAAGAACCTAAATAACAAATGTCTACTACACATGCATGACCTTTATGACACAAAATCCATTATTTTAATCAATAATTTCGATAACATGAGATGATCCAGGATCCAAATTATGAAAGGACTTTAAATGAATCTTTAAATCCTCTTTTTTTTCAAACGCTTTTTTACATTTATCCCAATTGCAAGCAAAAGTTTTTGTAGTAGTAGAACTTATAAGATTTACGACCGAGGGTGACACTTCATTGGATGTATTTGATACAAGTTTTGTGACATTTGTTGATGTTCCATTAACATTATTATCAACAACGGGAACATTAACGGGAACGTTCACGGTAGCATTCTCGGGAGCATTCTTGGGAACATTCTCAGGAACATTTTTGGCAACATTCTCGGTAATGTCAGAAGTCGCCCCCTTACTACTACTTGAAGGAGTATTAACATTAGATTTCGATAGTGCTGCAGTCCTTTTTTTGGCCAAATAAATTTCATCCATTTCTTCCTTAGTCTTTCCTTTCATTTTCATTAATAGATTCGCAATGTCTTGATGATATTGATCTTCTTCATGAGCAAGTTTTAACTCCTGCTTCTGAAGATCACATTGCAACTGCAATACTGAATTTTCTTTTTCTAACCTTTTTATCTGATCTTCAAATGATTCATTTTTTTTTGAAGATTTACCAAAAGTCGATTGGACTGTTTTAGTTTGTTTAAGATTATTATTTTCCGTCTCTAAACTTTTAATTTTGCTTTTATATGTTTTTACGCTGTTCTTTAATGTTTCTACTTCTTTTCTCAACTTGTGAGTTTCTTGTTCTTTATTTTCCGCATCTGATTTCAACCTACTGTTTTCAAGTTGAACATCAGCCATTTCCATTCGTACCTTTTCTAATTCAATACTTTGAACTTCAAATAATGATCTCTTGCGTCTTATTTGTAATTCTCCGAGTTGAGTTCTTGTCTTTGCTAGATCTGAACTTAGATCGTTGACCATTTTGCAATATCTTTCTTTCTCTTGTGTAAGGTCATCTTGCAATTTTAATAATTCGGAATATTTTTGTTTCCAGTCTATCGCGTTCTCCTCCGCACACTTCTTAACATAAGATATTAAAATTAAATTATTAATCATTAATTAAGTTAAATAATTTTAATTATACACTTTACCTGTTCTTTACAATTCTTGTTTGAATCCTTGGAACCCCCTTTAACATGCTTAATGGGATCCTTGGAAAGATTCCTGCTAATTTCTCTGGTAGGGTTTTTTGATGTTGATGGATGATCTTTGCAAGAATCCTGCGTTGTTTCTTTATTCTTGCCAAGTAAATCTTTGGATGAATCTTTTAATGAACTTCTACGTGAATCCTTGTGTAATTCATCTCTTGAATTCCTTGGTGATGGAATTTGCTTTGATTTATTCAAAATCGTCGAATTAATTTGTTCTATTGGTGATTCAGTTAGTGGCTCTGTGGGCGATAATATAGTTGAAGTTGATATCGATAAAGATGATGTTGCTGCATGATTGCTATCGTTAATCGAATTGGGATTTGACACTTCGGTGGAAATTCCTTCAGTGGTCTTCAATTTTTTCTTCCTTTGAGAAAGTTCCTCATTCTGTGAAGTCTCTTTATCCTAAACGAAATATAACAAAAAGGAGGATAAGTTCTAAACGAAAAACGTTTAATTAGAGAATCAATTGCTTACTTTTCTTTTTTTGAGACTTCCTTCATCATTGACATCCGAAACTCGCTTTTCGGCTTTTGGAGATGAGAAGTCTTTACGTTCTTTACTGCTAGAAGCTGTTGCGATAAGACGTGATCTATCAAATGTGACGTGTTCCGCTGGAATGCTTTTACCCCAAACCTTTTCAACGGCAGCTTCCATGCCAAATGTTAAATTTCTTTGCATTCCGTCATTTATCCATTGAAAAACTTTGTCACATGTTCCTTGAATATCAAATTGTCTTAATTCACAACCTGTTTCAATGCATTGATTTTTTTTCCACAATCCAAATTGTATAATCCTTTTTATTTCAAATAATGATAAAGTCGAGAATAATAAATTATCAGACTGTTGCAACATTTGATAATTAAGAGCATGTTCAAGGGTAAGTTTTGTAACTAATCTAATAATCGGAATGTTTTCATTTGCCTTAATATGCCATAAATGTTTCCTTGGACTAAAACTTGTGTCATATGCGATCACTAAATCGAATTGTGGCTGTAAATGAATAAATAAAAAAAGTTAATATATTATAAAAGTTTAAATTTATAAAAAAAAAAATTTACCAATTCTTCTTCGTTCATCCTTGGTAAAGGAGTTGTGAAAACGATACAACGCAACTTGTACTCGTTAGTAGTAAGTCTTGTCGTTCTTCTGTTTGCAGTTTCATTCAAGATAACATAATTATGATTATGCGTTTTCATGAAATCTTTAATGATGCTCTAAAGGGATGGAAAAAGGTATTATATATAAAATAAATTACATTTGAAGCAGAAATGTTACTGCTTACATTCATTATTGGACCTTGCGGGATTGCAATGCCGATGGTAAGATCATGATGCCTTAATCCCTTTAACAAATGATTTATCATTACCAACTTCCCCGTCTCAAAAGATTGGTATGAAGTGTTAGGTCCATGATAATGATTTGGACTTGACGACAAAAGAAGAGACAGGTGGTTAACAATTTTAAGTAATTGATCTTTTACATGAAAGATAATCGAATTTGGCTCGGGAGGGGTAGACAAATTGGTCTCGGCCAAATATTTAAAAATTTGAGGTTTATCAATTGCCTTCCGATAAGCAATTTGTTGTAGCTTTGATAAAGGAACGGGAAGCAAAATTTGATAAGGACGAAGTAATTGACGATGTATTTTTGAATGTTTAACAGCAACGGAATTGGCAACACTTGAACTATCATCAGTTTGCCTCAATTTAGAAGAAGGATGAGTGTTATCATTTTGAGTAGGATTTCTTGAAGCATCATCATCAGAATCTATAACCATGGGAGATTCTAAACTATCACCGTTATTTGCAGGGTTGGAACCTGCAACGGTTTTTTGAAGTTTTCTTTCTCGTTTAATGGGTGAATTTTTGGTTGGGGTAGTTGAAGGGGATGAAGGAAATATAGGAGACCTTAATTTCCTTTTTCCCGCCCTATTGTGATTCCACGAGGCAATAAGTGGCTGTGTGCAATGACTTGCAGGCTCCTATCATAAAAATGAATAGTTGATCTTTTTAATATATCTATTTAAAAAATAAATAAATAAATAAATAACTAGGCTGGACATGACATAAATACCCAAGTTGGTTCCCAAGGCTTTCCATTATTGTTCATTCCTTTCCATTTTATCAAGTAAAATGTCGTATCTTCCGTGGTTCTTTCATCTAAAATACGTTCGGCTTCGAAATATTGGTTAGCAGTCGTATTTTGGGGCATCATCTAATTTTTTGTACTAATATATTTGCTTTCTTTATAAATTACGAGAGTAATATTATGTTATGATATAAAATAAAAAAATTTTATTATTATTTTTGCCTAGAAAGATTACCGGCAATCTCTTAACGTCCTTTTAACAACTTTAGGACAAATTTTTAATGAGAACTTGCGGTATTCTGTTATTCTTTTTCTTTTATTATGATAGCCATTTCCTTTTTATTCTTTTATTTTTAATATATTTTACAGTGTATTATTGTACTTACCAAGTGATAGCAAAAAATCTGAGTAATTTTTTTTGGAAATCTTTATCTAATTTACCTTTTATATTTTATTTTATTTTGTGTATATATAATGTAAAAGAGCAAGCTTTCTTCCAAATAGTAAATGGAATAAAAAACTATTTTCTAAGGTGAGAAAAAAAGGTTTATATGCGCAAAATTGGGGGACACTTTTTTTTGATCTATTTTAACCCTTTTGTATTTTTTTTTTCTGTATTGTCTTAATAATAAAAGAACTTTTAATTACAAGTCTTTCAAAAACAGTTAAAACAAAGAAAAAAATTAAAGAGAAAAAAAAAATTTTTTTTTTCTAAGGATTTTTTTTTTTTTAAAAAAAAAAAAAAAAAGGTTTAAGCGCCAAATGGATCATTTTTGTGGTCCAGTTATTTATATTAATGAGTCATAATGGGTTGCACACAATTTTAAATACTGCTTTTTGAAAATCACATTACGCCGGCCGCCCCTTAAAAAAAAAAAAAAAAAAGACAACTTTTGTTTTTATTTTAAACAATGTCAAGTACCAATTATTTGCAACTGTTTGTTATCCGCTGGCCAAAAACATGATAAAATATAATCTCAAGACGGTTTTTAACAGCTTTAAATCTTTTTTTTTTTGCCTCAATTTTCTTTTTCATATTGCCTTTGACTTTAGGTAAATTTAAACCATCAAATAAATTTGTGACAAAAAAGTCTGCTCTGCATGAACTATTACCCAATATAGGAATTGATCCGTTGATTTACATATTTCAAAAGAAGCTAGTATTTGCATCTTCATCTATCCTTTTAAATCATACCCACAACTTATTAACCAAATAGATATTAATAAGATTTCTTTTCCAGGTTAGTTAATTCCAGTTAATTCTGGCAGAATTATTGACTAGGACAGAAATCAACTAGATGATGATGGGCTGGTTTAATAATATTCATGACATTTATTTATTTATTTATTTATTATTATTTATCTTCAACAAGCAGTCTTTGTACCTTCATTTCTTCCAGTCGCTGATATATGGGAATTATATGTTATGATTTCGTTTCTTTCTTGGGAAAGGTCTGCTCAGTTTCATTATGATCATTTTTTTAAAAATATAGACAAGAAAACATCATTTAGATGTGTTAAACATTAATTTAGAATTAATGAATAAAAGTAAATCTTTGGTATTAATCTTCGTGGGATTTATCATTGTTTCATGCACGTTCATGAGTAAGTTGGATACGTTAAGTGGGGAAAGATATAAAAAGAAATTTCAAAGGAATATTCAAGTATTTGGACAATTTCAAAATTAAAAAAAAAATTTCAAACGGCTGATTTTATATTCCAAGAAAAAAAACGAAATGATGTTGCGATCACTTTTTATCACGAGTTAAATTTATCAAAAGTCTTGGAATTTTGTTAAAAGAGTTGTGTCATGACAGAAGTAAAAAACAAAAAAAGTATTATTTTTTTTTTTTAAAGTACTCCATTTTTGTAAGAAAAATTGATCATCATTTCCTAATCCTAGACATAATTGATTACATTTTTGGCTAGGTCGCTATTCAGCTTCATGTGTCTGACACATAAAATGAGGTAATTATTTATTATTATTTTTTTCGAGATATGTGCTGCGCAAAACATAAAACAACGAAGGGGAATGTTTGTGGCTTATTCAAATGTGGCTTAGACGAAAATATAAGAATTCACCCCGTAAAAAAACATTCAAAATAGCAAAGCCATCTAACGATTGATTTTCTTCTTCTTGCAGGAAATTAGGAAATTGAATAATGTCACAATACACAGTAGTAATAATACAACAAGACCAACAACGACGGCCACCACCACCACCACCAACAAACAATTGGCCATCATTTTACCCGATATTATATCATAACCTTGAAAACTTCTCTGGAAGAGAGAAAACGTTATTGTATAGAAGTTACCTTCTATCCAAGCGTACGTATAATTTTTCAGGATCTACATAAAGAAAATCTTATACTAATAATTATGTTCGTTATAACATTTTAGTATACCTTATAACGTTATTGGTAAATTCATGTGTTGATGTCGCAACTGCGATAATGACAGAAAATGGTTTAAGTGTTATATCCCAATTAATAGCTTCAATCATCTACCTGATCATGTTGCCATTTGGTGATTTCTTTGGTAGACATTTAAGTCTTTATAATGCATTCACGTAAGCAACGTACGCTTGATTATCCTTTAATCCATATATTCAATGCTAATCGACTTCTTTTTTAAAAAATTGGTTAGATTTGATGATGAATCAAGTTTTAGATATTTCTTTTTTGGAGAAACAATCGTTATCTTATTTGGTTTAATAATTAGCATTGGGTTCATACACGGTGGATCTTCTGGGACACTTGGGGCGATCCTTTATTTTCGGATTAAATTATATGTTCTCGGTGTTCTTATTTCTATATTTTTATTCTTGGTATTAATGCTAACCATTTTTCACATTATTCTGACAATTCAAGTAAGTGATTTCAAATTTTGAATATTGGTTGGTTCTATATAAATATTAAATGTTTCCGTTCATTTATTACAGGTTTATAGACTGTTTAGAAGTAAAAATTATACTATATGTCCAAGACCTAACCCAGGACCCACCGTTGTTCCTGTGATTAGACGTATCTAAATTGACATAATTTTATGTGAATAATTTTTTTTCTTTTTGCATGATGTATATTCTCGTTTGCTGTTTATTGTGATGAAATAAAATCTAAGCGGAATTATTTTATAATTATCGACATTTTCCTTTTGATTTAATAAAAAAATTAATTTTTCGTATATATTTTATTCTATCATCTTTTGGTTTTCTGTTAATAATGTAAAAATTAATAATAGTTTTATTTAATTTATAATGCATTTAAATTTATAAATTAAAAAAAATCTTAATATTAATTCTAAGAATAAATAAAAGGCGACCGTTCTTTTAAACTCTTGGTGTAAAATTATTAAATTGGAGAGAAAACGCCGCCATATTTAAATAATTTGAGTTCGTTGCTTGATGCCGTATTTTATCCGAACAAATAAAAATTCAGGATTCCAAATGTCAAAATATTTGTTGCAATTTGCGAGCTACAAGGTCATGTGAATATTTTTAACCGATATTCCTTTGCACGTAAATCTTTTTTTTTTCAAATTCACTTTTGCTTTAATTAAATTACTTTAATATTCAGAACATAACTATATTTGCTCCGAAATATCATTCAAACAAATTCATTTTAAATAAAATATTTTAATTTACGCTTATAATATACAATTTTCCAATTGTTATCCTGAGCATTGCAAGCAATTTTATAGAAAAAAAAAGTATAACTTTTTTATTGATGAGAGTTTTAATATAAATTTTATTTATCATCATGACGTTTTTTCACAATTATTCACATAATAATTCGTCATGTAATAACAGCCTTAACCTGATGAAAAAAAAATACATTGAAAGACTAAAGCCTAAACAATAATCGTCATCTTTAAAGAATATAGAACAAATTTACAACTTTATACATTAAATTCCATATTAAAACCATAAAACCTTGTTAAAAAAAACCTGCGAAAAAATTACCGTTTAGACAAACAATCTTAAACCTTGAATTTTATCCAATTAATAAATATTTTAAATATTTACTGTAAAATTTTATAAACAACCTTAGAAATTATAATAATATTATGAAAATTTTCGTTAGTGAAAAAAACAAGTTAAATTTGTATAGCGATGAGAAATCGTATCCAAATAACGTATTCCGGATTATGTTATGTTAAATAATTTGTTTACGCATTGAAACAGCAAGAAATTTATTTAAATGAATCGCTTTTTATAAAATAAAAATATTTCAATAACTATTTTTAAAAGAAAAATTGCGCATACTATACTTTGATGTAAAACAATATTTATAAAAAAAGTTCTTCGTATTGTAAGAAACCTGATTAAGTATTTAAAGTCATGTAAAGAAACACCAAAATATTCGCAGGGGCGTATTTTGTGTACTAAACACTTGCAGGGTCATGCGAAAAACAATTACTATATTAGTTAAGTTATTATTATTAAGACAAAGATTCAATTAAGGTTCGATAAATATTTTTTAAAAGAAGATCTATTTCCTTGTCAAACATTACATTCTTTTTTTTGAAAAATTTCACAGATAATCTCAAAAAATTATACTCTCTCTCTATAAAGATTACTTTTTGAAGCAAAATATGACCGATTATAATTTTCTTATTATGTTATTCCATTATGCAATTTAACATTCGATGCAAAAAAAATATCCTTTCATGCGACAAATAATCATGAAATATCTAATTTGATATCCTAATTTTGTTTTGAAATGTTTATATTTTTTTAAAAATAGATTTCTAATTTAACGAAGTAATTGATTTTCTAAATTTTACCTCAAACTGTATTCCCGTTAAACAATCTAAACAATCTTTTTGCATTTTTTTTTGTTATAAAAACGATGGGAAATTACGTTCGGGTTTCTTCAAATTGTTTAACAAGAAGACAATTCTCTTTGTAAATATCATAATATTCCATAATGGTCAACATGAAATTCGCTTTAATCTTTACCATTTCGTTTCTTGTTTCTTTAATAAATTCAAATCCAGCTCTGGTTGTAAATCAAATCGGTTCAATAACACGTAAAGTTTAAATAATAATCACTTGCAATACTTTCACATAAAATATAACCATTAATAGCCAGTAAATGTCTCATAATGTAGAACAACCTAATAACCCAAGAATTCCTAGCGCAATCCAAGTGCCTGAAGGGAACGAATTTAAATTTTTACTTTACGCTTTGGGTTTAAACGTATACGTTTGCAATACAACTACTCCAGAATGGGTTTTCACTAGGGCAATTGATACAACACTTATCAATGATATTACAAAGAAGGAAATGTTTATTACGAAATATGAAGTCGCTGAACATTTCTTCCTGGACAAACGTATGTAGAAATAGTCGAGATTTTTTCTAGGTTAATGCAGAGGGCTAATCCTTTCATTTTATAGCCGTAAATGGTGGTTCTGCGATTTGGAAATCTTTGGTACCAGGTGATACCTCTTTTGTAATAACAGTCCTCGCCGCGGACACACTATCACCTGATGGTACTGATAATATCGATTGGCTGTTACTGAATGTAACTGTAAGTTTGAATACTCAATCATTTTTTATTTTACGAAAATAGAAAGTATAAAAAAAAAATCAAAGAAGACTTATAATACTTTTTTTTTCGATCGATAGGCAACCGGAGGACATGGTGCATTTGCTGATAATACATACATTCTTCGTGTAAATACTCAAAAAGGAATACCTCCTCCTGCTAGTGAATGTAAGTCGCATCATGAAAAAAAAATATTTTTGTAATTACTAATAATTTGTTTTGGTAGGTGAGACAGATGGTGATGAAATCAGGAGCGACTTTTTAGTCGAATATTGGTTTTATCGTTAACATCGTCAACATTAAAGAATAAATTATATTCATTATGTTGACACCTTTAACGTCAATATAACCAATTTCGTTGAGATGAAATAAGAAAAAAATAATTTTTTTCCTTTTTTTTGGCATATAATGACGACCTCGCTATGAGACTTGATATTTGTGGCGCAGTGGAACTACAATATTATTTTATTCGTTGTACAACATATAATATTGAAAATAAAAAAAATTATTTAAATGTAATTAGGTAATATGTAATTATCTTGATTAATTTTGCTTTATGATAAAGATTATTATATGAAATTGGAAATAATGTTAATGATAAAATTATGTCAAAATTAAAAAACGTTATCCGTTGAACCATTAATATATCAATCAAATTTTCAATAAATGCAATTGCTCCGAAAAATAGTATTAAAAATATCCAATCAAGAAATCATTTTAAGCACTTTTAATAAAAGAAATAAATTACAATGTAGAACTTACATTAATGTCAAATGGCAATCATGAAGGGTAAGCTCAGAACAGAATTTCAAAATTCAGCATATGATCTATGAACGTAAATAAATTGTTCTAATAAATTAAACGGACGGAAAAAATCAAATTTAAAGACGATGTAGGATATGTAATAAAATGGAACCTCCCCGATTGACCGCAGTCTGCCGGTTACGTGAAACTAGCTTGGCAGTGTTTCACTTATTAGTTCTGCATATTCTGGGTTGATGAGCTTGTATTAATGGAGTTATTCCACAAAAAAAAACCAAACGCCAGTTAAAAAAAAAATTGTGTAATGATGATCAATAGGTAAAATTAAAAATTGCAATATTTGGATCTACGGTCACATGATTGCAATTTAGCCGCTTGCACATGTATTACAAATAAACAATTGTATAAATAATGACCCTTATTCATTTTTGGTAATCAACTTTTTTCCCCCTTCTTTTTTTTTAAATAATGGAAGACAAAATTTCTACTTTAAAAAATGTTCCTCCTTGTACGACCATAACAGAAACGAACAGAAATTTACTACCTTCTTCCTCGTTACCCCCAGAAATTCTAGTCAACATATTTAGTTTCTTTTGTTCGGTTACGGACCTGTTATCATGTGCTCAAGTTAATCAAGCATGGCATCATGTAATTACAGCTTTCTACATATGGCATTCAATAAAATTTAAGAATTATGAAACATTTTCAAGATTTCATGAAGTTTTGCAAATGATATCAAAAATGAGAAGTAGACGGGCATTAGAAAATTGGAGTAAACTTATAGCTACTTACTTGAAAACCACCGTTATAGAGTCTTCCAATTCAGAAATTTATAATGTTGATGAAGATGAAGCTGATGAATTGGTGGGAACTCCGACTTCTTTATCAAGACAAATTTATTTTCATTCAACAAGATATTATGGACATTTCGTTATAAAACTTGATTTGTCCAAAATTCATAAAAAAGTGAATATCACCGAAAAGATGTTTTGCGATTTATTTCCAAATATACCAAATCTAGAGAACGTCAATTTTTATAATTGTTATACGGTTACTGATGAAGTAATCAAAAACCTAACGGAATCATGTCATCGTCTAAGGAAAATAAAATTATTCGGATGTACAAGTCTCACAAACAAATCTTTGGAATATATTGGAATGCAATGTACGGATCTCACCTTTTTAAACATGGGGTAATTTGCTTTCTTTTTTTTATTCTTTTTTTTAAAAAAAAATTATCAAAAAAATTTATTTTCTAATCATCTTTTTTTTTTTTAAAAAAAAAAAAAAAAAATTAGTTTCTGCACATATGTTACTTCGAATGCATTACAATGTTTATTAGATAGATGTAGACGACTTACAACTCTTGTAATATCACATTGCTCAAATGCTCCAGCAATCTCCTTGATTCCCATGGTAAAAAATCTTCAAGGATTACAAAAATTATACATGTATCGTAGTTTTACCTCGGATTTAATAGTTAAAAGTCTTATCCCGCAGATACCAAAACTTCGTAAATTGGATTTGGGAATTAGTAAACCAAAAATTACTGATGTAGCCGCCGAGGTTATTGCGCAACATTGTCCAAATCTTGTTCATCTCTCTTTATCATTTAGTCTAGTTACATGTGAAGGCCTAAGGATTATTGGACAAGGATGTAAAAAACTTTCATTTCTTGATTTAAGTGGATGTTGTCACATTGGTCATGGACTTTATGATGTATTAAAATATTTTACTCAATTAAAAACCCTTTACCTCAAGTCTTTATTACAGATATCCGGAAAATCCTTTTCTTCTATAATTAAATCTAATATTGAGCACGTTTCATTTTTTAGTAGTAAGATTTTAGAAGAAGAAACATATGATGTTCCTTCCAAAGAAGATAAATCTTATTCCAAAGTGAAAAAGTTGATTTTGGATTATTGTGAGGTTTCAAATAGTAATCTAAAACAAATCGCTCATTGGTCTAAAAATTTGGAACATTTAGATATTAGTTTGGTTTATGATGCTGATGATGAGATATTGCAATTTTTATGTGATAATTTAGAAAATCTGAAGTTTGTTTTGGCGAGGGGTTGTTATAGAATTAGTCAAGTCAAACAAGGTGAATTGAATAAGCACCAAAGGATTAACTTTAGTTTCTGAAAATGAAGATATTTTGTAGTTTTTTATTTTTTATTAAAAAAAAAAAACAACTAAAAGAAAGTTTTGTTTTCATTCATTATCATTTATCATATTTCGATTACATTTTGAAGCACACTCACAATAAATAATAAAGATGTTACTTTTAATTTTTTAAAAGAGAATTTAAGAGAGTATTATCAATGAATTTATTGGTAATTTGTTTCACGAATTATTTATTAAATTCGCTATGATCGCAATCTTAAAATTACGTGAACAAATTCAGAAATTTTTTTTTTTTAAAAAAAAAATTTTATTGAAAACTTACGTAAAGAACCGAAGAAATTGAATGATTTCAAAATTTAATCACATTTAAGAAAGTATTTATTCTTTTATTATTGCCTAACAGGACGAAAAACAAAATGACAATAGTTTGCAAAATTTAGAAACATCATTACTTATGACATAATACTGAATAACAAGAATGAGTCGAAGGGAATATGATCTCGACAACATAATCCTAACTTCACTCAGAAATCACGAAAATCGTTAAGGATTCTAACACCAGCTAAAGATATCGATTTTATCTCAAACAGTTTTTTAGATCAGGGATGACACCATGAACATTTTGGCGTGGAAGTCTTTTAAATCTGAAAAATTTTATAAGTTATCCAAAGATTTTCAATGAGTCAATTCCCAATTTAATTAATAATGTATTTTTTTTATTAGTAATATGAAAATTACCATGATCTAGCTCAATAGTTTAAAACAAAAGAATATGTATTCTGTTCAGTATAATATTGTTATTCATCTCGCTTTATTACGATGTAGATCAGGTCATAAGGTATAATCGGAATAGAAATATTGTTCGAAGCTTGGAAGCTGGATATCATTGTCATTTTGGATTAAGAATTACACGTGAATGTTTCAAGTAACAAGAAGGTGCTTGACAAAATAGATTGATTACAATGGTAGAAAAGTTGTCCTTCTTGGCGTTCTCAATCACCTCTCTTCAAGGTGATCCGATCAATTGAAATATAAATGGATATCATTGCTTGATCAATCTTCATTATGTAGTGCTCCGTAAGGGTCGGGTCGGGTCGGGTTTGAAGCAAACTCGAACTCGAACCCGTTAATATTTACAAGACCCG